TAATGGTGAATCATTATTAGGTTATAAAATATTAGTTGATGGACATAATAATGATTTTCAAGATTATTATTCAACAGCTGAATATGCAAAAGAAAAAACACGTCAAGTGTGTATTACACTTGACGAAAGAGAAAAAAATAAATTAAAAAATATGGAAAATTATATGAAAAAGTATGTTTAGTTTTGAGAAAAGTTTAATTTGCTTTTTAATATTTCTCTCTTTTTCTTTTCGTAAGTGTTGTTGGGTCTACTTCAACACAAACAAAATTCACATCAATAAATTCAACAGCAACTCAACAAATAAAAGGTGCAACATCATTAGATGTTACTCCAAATCCAGAAGAAATTAGTACAGGAAAAAAACTATGGACTAAAGTATATTTGATATGAGACAGACGGTTTTTGTTTTTTTTTTAATTTTTAATTTTATTAGGTTGCAAATTTATATCGTTTCGAATCATTTCTTCTTCGAAATGCAATTGATCTTATTGAATCAGGTCTTCTCACTGATGAATCATTACTACCCAAAAATCGACCCGTATGTTTTAATAAATACTTAATTGATAGGATAGTCTTCGTAGAAATAAGCGAACAGAAGAACATAGCATACTTAAGATTTTATAGTATGATCACAAAATGGTTAAGTAATTAATTGCTATGCTATCAATATGTTTGTCAGTCTCGTGTCTTTTGTCAAAAAATATTAATGTAGACATTGACGATTGATATTAAATACTTGACTTAAATGTTGGATTCTTGTATGCTCTGCGTAATATTCTAGAATTTAATCATAGGAACATTAGTTCCAATCACAAGAACTATTTCAACAACTCATTCAATACGAATCGATCTATCTGAACATAAACTACACATAATTTTTCATTACCTAGCTAGTGACAATCCCTATAATTTTTTACACGCAGCTTAACGGTGATCCTTGTAACTTTTCTGGCAGTATTCAAAAGAAGGAAGTTACCGTTAGATTACCAAGTAACCAGTAAAAGATTCGTTACGCGTTTCCGAGTAAGGAAAAATTTTTTGGATCTGATTCTTTCGTCACGAAATAGCTCTCAGAAGAAGCTTATGATTTTTTTTTTTATAAAGCTTGATCATAAGTCTTCAGAGCTGAGAATACTTGACCGAAAAATCAAGTATACAGTTTCGACGAATTGACTACAAATTCGAATTTGTGAACCTTGAAAGTCCTTAAATCAAGCTTTATACAAGACCACGAGTTTCCTCCAATCGCTATTCCCTAACAAAAAAAAATTAAGATCATGAATTTTTCGCAACTGAATAACTGATAACGGAGCTCTTAACAGTTACTTGGTAATCTAACATTAGTTTCCTTACCTGGGTGCCTCCTGAAAAACTATGGGGACCGATGTTTAATAGACCTTGAAAATTTCTACGTATCTTATTATCCTAGGTGCGATCAACTCCTATCAAAGAATGTTTCGAACAGTTCATTAGATTAGTCTTTTTACTGAACTATTCTGCTTCAATGTCTAACTCACTTTCCTACACGTGAAAAACATCATAGTTGTTATAAAATCAAATAACACTGTGTCAATATTCTTTTCGTAATATTTGCAGTAAAAAAAAAAAGATCCTATTGTTGATTCATAAAATCCAATGGAATACTCGAAAAAGTCTATGCGAGCTTAATTTGAAATTATGAATATTTCTTTATGCATTATTTTATAGAACGTTCCTGGAGCAATCAATAGAACAGTTAGTCGTGTATCATCATCGCTCTCATCACTTTCACCAGTAAATCCGAATGTTCCATTTCGTATTCGTTTATTTGTTGAACGATTTCGTCTACTAAGAGAAATGATGTATAAACCAGATAAAGATGGTCGAACATTACGTCATTTAAGTGGTGCAGAATGGGCTAGAGTACGACGTGGTCTAAATAATGATTGGCAAACTCTACGAGCCAGTACAGCACTATCTGCAAAAAAGAAACAAAAAGGAGCTAAAATGAAAGCAAAAAAAAGGTCAGTAAAAATTCAATTACCTGATATTCATCAACAAGGAGAATCATCAGCAAAAATTCCTCTACCTCGAGAACGTCAAAAAGTTGATTATCGTTTTATATTACGTGGTAACGATAAACATTATCATGAAATAATGTATGATTGGGAAAGAACAGCTGGTTTAACATTACCATCATTAGCCGTACAAAGTTTAAGTGAAGCAACGAAATTTCAACGAAAATCATGGATGCGTCAAGTTGATATAGCTATTCAATTTGCTACGAATCGTAGTCAACGAGTATTTCAAGCAGTTCCTTAATGGATGGTGTAAAAGTTCTATATTAATTTTATTTTTCATATAGTGTAACAACAACTTGTCATGGACATTTAATAATTTTTCTTTGTTAGAAAGAGTACAGTCTCTACTACAAAGTTATGTAAGAATATTTAAATTTTTGTACCATCCATTAATTGTATTTTATAATTTCTTTTTTTAATAAATATATCTATATTAAAGCTGAAAATGATTTCGAACATTAGATTTTATAAGTAGAAAAGTATGTGAAGAATAAATCAAGTATTTCATTACTTTTTATAAACAAACAAATTGAAATTCATTGAAATTGATTCATTTGTATTCAAATATTTTTTTTTGCTATAATTCTGAGCCTATCAATTGAGTTGATCGAGTAAATTTTGCGTTATATTTATCAACTAATGTAACGAAGAAGAAAATGAAATTTTAATTTTATCAAATACTTTTCTCATTTGATTATTGGTTTTTTCTACTGATGAAAAGTTAACATTTATCTTTGCAATTCCATCATGTCAACTATAACAACTTTTCTTAATAGTAAACTGAAATGTTAAAGTATGTAGATTAACATAAAGATTACTATATATGTTAGTATTCAATATAAGATCCGAGTTTGAACTAGTCTAAACTTGAATGGAGCAAAACTCTGTAATAAAAACTCAATTTTGATCCTGAAATCAATATTGAATTTCGAACTATGATGATGTTGTTATGATACTTCTTTTGTGTATAGTTGATCGATTATACAAGTTTGATTTAAATAGATATTGAAAATATTTTCCGTTGAGTTTCTATTTATATATGAAACTATTTAAAACTTGTTTAATCTAATCCTAACTTTTGAACAAAAAAAAATGTCTGAATACGACTTTTTTGCTCATGGCGAAAAACTTTCGAAATACGAAAATTTTGCTAAATGCGTTAAAAATACTAAAGATCATATGTAGAAAGAAGTTTGTTTGTATGGCATAAAATATAGTTGAACGTCAAAGTTTGATTAATCTCGACGACATGAGTCAAATAGTGTGTTTTATGCTGTATACTGATGATGTGATGTTATTTGCAACAGATGACTACCATTATGAGTTCTTCGTTTAATTTATATGTTGTAATCTCTCCACACATTATCACGCACAATACTATATGCAGATGAGGGGATGTGCGTAATCTGAAGAATTACCTTTATTTTGATATTAGTTGTGAAGTATTATACATCTTGGAGTCTCATATGGCACATTGACACTAGTTTTTCTTTTTTTTTCACATAAACTATAAGTTTTGTAAGGCCAATATTTCCAGTGGTAGTTGACCACAATAAACGAATAAAATGATGAAAGTTTCATCTAAAACTACCACATTCTCAGAGAGTTATACGTGAGACAAAATGAAAAACTTCGTTGTGACAATCGAATTTTCAAGTCTTAATTTACAGTTTTTATAATCAAGAAATAATACAATATTTTCATTTTTTTTTTTAACAATTTTGTTTTCTCATCTATTGGTTTTCATTCAACGCCACTCTGACTATGTTTAGATAGATTGTTCAGTCGCATAATCGAAAAACATAGACTGCTAACTATAAATTCGCTAATTTCGAAAGTTCAAATAACACGAGAGGGTATGGATGTATGGATGCAACATCATTCTGTTCGGATAATATCTCAGCACAAATAAATCGTATACTCTTGATGTTTTATTTAAAATGCGCTGTGAAATTTTTGTTTAGTAAAATGTTCTATTATTCTGAGAGAAGTAAAAATGAAAATAACATTGATTAGTATATATATTTACTTGTGCTAAAATATTTCCAAAATACTAAATGTTGCAATCATTATGCCTCACCCGGTATCTAATATTAATATGATACGTGCTTTTTCTTGTGTCATATCCCTGGTTTTGTTATAATAGACGACTCCTCATATTATTATATTCTTCATTTTTAGCAGATCTTTGACAGAAATTAAATCCATAGGAATTTGTTTTTTCGAGTAGAAATTGTTAAAAAGTTTAATGAATCATTATAGAAGATGAGACTTATTCCAATATGAGGGGTGAGGCAGTACTAACTCTGGCTAATATTTTCTTTTGTGTGTAAATTTATTCATGTTTATTGTTTCTTTGATTTTCTTTATTCTCAGTCACGTCCATTTTATTTGATTAATAAAATTCTTTTTTCCTTAGTTACAACACTTCGTTCATTATTCACTCTTTATGGCATAAACTTTTCGTCGCCGTTACACTTCTTTTTGACTATGTGTAATCTATTTTACTCACTCTTGTTTACATTCCTCTTATTCTCTTTCTTTTCTATCATCTGTTTCATGGATTGTCATAGTTTTGTTTTATTCATTATTTATTCAATAAATTGGTTTGTATTCATTCACCTTCAATTCATTTTCATCATTTGTCATCGTACAATGACACTTGTCGTTTGCATCTAGTTGCATTTCAGAGATTATTTCAAATAAAAATTTTGATTAATTCATTAATTGTAAGGAAATTCTTTTTCTATTTTAAAATTTATTCATCATAAAATAAACTGAATCAAAAAAAAAATATATATATATATATAAATAATTTAATCATTTTATTGTCTTGCTTGCAAAAAAAACGAAAAATTCGTAAACAAAATATTACATTAATATATATTTATAAAAAAAACACATTGTCCCGTATGGATACATTATAGTAACCGATTGTCATTATGATGTTGTCGTTGTTGTTGTCGTTGCATTATTGTTATCAGTTGTTGAAGCTGATTGTAATGATGAAGTTTGTCGTCTAATAGCCCAACATTGGGGTTGACGATAAGCTGTGCCACCTATTCGAACATTAGTTACAGTACCAAAACGTAATAATTCTTTATGATATTTAATAAAATTATTTAATTTTCTTGCATCACCAAATGGTAAACGAAGACGTGTTAAATGTTCTCGAATATCTGTTGTTGCCATACCCGATTGTAAACATTTAAATATTTCATCTTTAGTTGCATCTGTTATACTAACTGGAAGACGATCTTTTGGTATATGTTGATGTTGTCCACATGAATAAATTGATATACTTCCTTCAGGATGAAAAAGTGCATACATTGCTGCTGGGCATGGATGGTAATGACGACGCATAGAAAAATTACATACATAATATACTTTATAACCACGGGAATTGGCTGATGTTCGACGCCATGTCCACCGTGAACCAGATTCTGCTGAAGAAGTTTCAATAAAAGCATTTAATGATTGTTGATCAGGTAATTTAATTAGAAAACCGTATTGACGACGACTTAAACGTGTACCTTTCAATCCATTTGTTGATGAGGCTTCATCATCATTTGTATGCGGCGACAAGGATTGATCACCATCTATTATTTATAATAGTAGAAAAATATTTTCAGTAAAAGAAATCATGATTTACCTATAGATGGTTGGTAGTTTATTGTTAATGGTGGTTGTTCACTATTTGAACTACTACGTCGTCGCACTTCCGATTCTTGTTGATGATGAGTTGGAGATGATGACAATGATGATGGTTCAATTATAAGTTGACTATAAGGTGACTAAAATTTAAAGAAAGATTAATTTTTATTTAAAATTCTTATTAAACGACGTACTGAAGTTTGATTGTTGATTGTTGGGTTATAAAGAACATTTTGATAGTATTCATTTGAATTTGGAATTATTGAATGAGATGTTTGGTTAGGTGAAAATGATGGGTGAATTTTCAGAGAATGAGATTTTCTTGATGAATATGAATTAATATTTTCTGTTTTTGATAGTGATTGTAATTGTTTTTTGGTCTAAAATTTAAAAAAAAAGAAAAAAGAACAATCTATTTTGAAAAATCAATATGAATTAAACTTACGCGAGGTTTGCTTTTAGATTCATTTATGATTTCCTGCTTATTATGATTTGGTTGATGAGATAATTGTAATGCATGTATTTCATTATGAATACGTTGTATATTTGATAGATCATAAGAAGTATTTGCAAGAACTGTTTCAGATACAGCAATTGGTGATTGTTCGATTGGTGTTTTTATCTCTGATGGTACTTGGTCGATGTCAAGTTCTTCTTTAACTGTTATTGTTATATTATCATCCGTAGCAGTTGTTGGAAGAGGAGAAACTGAAATATTTTCAGTAGTCGATGTTAGAGTCAAATGTGAATGACGAGCTCGATTTAAACGTTTTGTTTTACACCAAGTATGATGGATTTTTTTTGTTAATTCTTCAGCATCTTTATGTAATGAATAAACTCTTTGTAAATCATGGCAACATTTTGGACAAATCATTTGTAATTTATCCGATTCATATGTACCATTTAAATATCGTTCACAACATTCATTGTAAGTTATATTTTTATCTAAATTATCATGAATTGATTTACCTGTTAATAAATATCGATGACTTGTGGAAGCCTTAAGTAATGAATCACATAATGAACAACGTACACGCTGTTTATTGACATAATTTGATATTTTATTTGTTGATAATTGTCGAACAGATTTAGGATATACTAAAATATTGATGTGTAATTTAAAACAAAAATGAATTCATTTTGTCAAACAATTAAATTAACTTACATTGTTTATATTTCATTTTGTATATAGTTAACAATAGGATGAATTCAAATCTAATGGAATGAATAATAAAATAAAATAGTCTTTTGTTTTTAGTCACTATGTAATGTTTTTTATTAAATGAAAAGTTACTAAGGTATTCGTCTTATCTTTTATTTAATGGGTGACGAAAAAGCGACGTACAAAAAAAGATGTGTTTTTTTATATGCTATTTTCTTGTGTAATACTGTTGTTCGTTCGTTGTGGGGGCAATCTTCTCCTCTTCCTGTTCTTTTTGTACTCATATCAAACGCAAACATAGTGACCATGTTAAGTGCGAATTATTCTGTTTTTTTTTCGTATTCTCTATTACATCAGCACAATGAAAGGAAAGAATAAAACTTACTCTACGTATCCAAGAATTTCGTATGACGCTTAACAACAAATGATTTTCATGCTGGGAGATACACTGACGAAAAGAGAAAAGTTATTCTGTTCCCTGTTTTTTATTTTTAGCCCTATGAGGCTTTGCCTATATGTTGAAAAAGGTGCATATATGTTTTTTTTCCTTCTATTGTGTATATTGATTCAACGGGATATGTTGTTTGTCACATTTTTCGTTTTTCTCTTTTTTTAAAGACAAGACGAAACATTCTCTTTCTTCCTACGGAGAAAAAGAAAAGACTGAATTGCCAGAGTGAGATTTGTTTGTCAGGGAATTGCGTTGTCGCATAGTTGAATCATATTCAAAGCAAATATAATTATATTTACTTTATTGACATCATTTCTTTTTTTTCCAACTTGTTAGTATTTTTTGTATATAGGCTATGCATTTGAATGAGAAAAGAAAAAGATTTTTTCCATTTTCAATAAAAGTTCCTTTTATGATGTATGAGTAATAAAAATACTTAGGAGAGAAGTTCCGAGGAGGATGAAAATATATTGAAGTTTAAATTTCAACGACACTTTTAGATATCTTCAAGTTACGAATTTGATTATATGAAGACCGAAAAATCTGAGAAAAAGAAAAGTTGATAAGGTTTATCAAAAATAATGAGAAATTCTAAACAATAGATGTGATTCACAATTTTTGTTAGAATAATCTTGAGATAGACGTTATCAAAGAGTCATGAAAGAGAGGAAAAATACGTCTTTTTCTATTCTTTTTTTGTAATATTCACTGTCTTTATTTTTTATTGTCATACTAAAAAGATAGATGTTTGCTCATTCTTTTTCTTTCTCACGATATCATACGGGTGTATTTTTCGAATATGTCAATTCTCCTGTAAAGAGATAACCTTTATTCTCGTATTAGAACATATGATTTTTTTTGACAGTAACAAAAAAGTTTGAATCTCTTATTGATAAATGATTTTCGATTAATGATTTGAAAATTTGAGAAACATATTTTTAACAGTATTCTTTTATAATCTTCAATGTTTAATAAATTTTATAAAATTATTATTAAAAATTGATCTAATAATGATATCTGTTTTAGAGACCTGCACGACACTCCGATGGTATCGAAGCTTATAGAAATTTCAAAAACCTTTATTGATTTTTTTCTCATTTCACTTGTATAGAATTTCCCAAAAGTCCGTACGGAAAGTAAATTAATATAACTCCACCATATATTATAGTTAATCAACTAAATTTTCGTTTTCAAATGATAAACATTACTGTGAAGTTTTTTTTTTTTATACGAACAAACTTCACAAATACTATCCGAAGTGATTATTTTCGACTGCAATACAAAAATTAGTCGTATTTCGATTTCCAACAACAAGAAATCAATACTCACGGTTTCTATTTTAATACTTCAGTTTATAGCATTTTTTGTGGTTTTTAGATCAACTAGATCGTGTGCTATCATTTATATGCATTTGTTGCGATATGTCATTATAAAAAGAAGTCTGATGGTGTGAAGTCTGGCGATCATGAAGTTCATGAAATCGCTTTATGTTTTTAAGCAATGACTGATGAACTAGAAGAAATGAACCAATCTTATGAACTTTGTTTTCATCAAAATTGACATCATTAGGCTTCTTTCTTTAGTGACATATCAAAACTAATGCATAGAAACAATAGCCTAAGATCTGATCGATCTAAGAGTCACAAAAAAAAAACGCAAAAATTGAAGCATTAAAAGAAAAGCATTGGGTATTAGTTTTTTTTTCAAATAAAATACGACTGATCTTTCTATTTTAGTCGAAAATAATAACTTCGAACAGTATTTGTAAAGTTTATCTGTATCAAGAAAAACTTCACTGTAAACCTATCATTTGGAAAAAAATTAGTTGATTAAGTTTCATATATGATGATGTCATATTAACTTACTTTCCGCAAGAACATTTAGGTCATTCTGAATATTTTGGACTTATTTATGGGTACTAATTTAACAGAATCATTCTATTTTCTTATTAACTTTAGAATCTTTTCGGATGACAAGATCTTGGCAATTACTTCAAGTATCTTTCATACACAAAAATATTCAGAAACATAATCAATTTTCGTATTTTGATCCAAAACCTAAATTATTTACTTATTCGCTTACAATATTCTCAAATCATATATGATTCATGACAATATACTAATCTTAAATTACATAATATTTTTGACTATGTAAGCTGTCGCTAATTTACGGAAAGAAAACTTTTCGAAGTCGAAGTTAAATAAAGTTTGACGTCACAAGTCTCTAAATCTGTTATATATGAAGAAGAGAATTGTCAAACACAAGGAATATAATTCTTAAATGATGTCATTCATAATATTTGCAATGATTTATAAGAAATTACTGTTTTCATTTTATAAAATAACAAAAGAGAAGTCTAATGTTTTTTAAGATATGTATGAAACTGTAAAAAATCACATTTAGTCATAATGTTTAATAAGTTCATACATTGTGAGATGTTAAATCAAGTAATATTATGGGAAAAAAAAACTCATGATTATATTCAATAAAAATAATCAACATGAATAATTGTATTCAACAGCATCGATCTTTTATTATAATAAATAAATCGACATGATTGAATATATGTGTGTGTAAGAATATGGTTACTTTGCGCTATTCATCGTCCTTGATTTGTCAATTCATTGAATGTATCATAACAATGATGATTCATAGAAAAGTTTCAATCTTTTTCCCATACCAAGTGGTGATAGTGCTAAATTTGAAAGGATTGTATTTTTTTTTTTATTTATACTTGGTTTAATAAAGCTTAACGAACTAGTTACAAATATCTATTTTCATTTTGATTAAGTTACTCTCTCGCTGAGAGATAGTTCAAAAAATCTAATACAGATCAGATACATGGACAAAAAATCAATTTTTTCTGAAAAGATCTCAAGTTTATTCGTTTTGATGTCAGATTAATCAAGTAAAACATATTGTCAATAGTGTATAGTTTCAGACCAAGAGGTTATAGGAACTCTTGTAATTGTCTATGGTTAAATCGTGAAAACAGATACAACTAAATATTTTATCTTATTGAAATCTCGATCTAGAAAAATAATTCATTCTTAAAAATTATTTTTATCATTGAAAAAAATTGAGTTTTTTCGCATTTTCGTCACGAAACGGTCAAACATGGCCTTATATATTCAATAGACTTTATTATCATAGTTGAGTTCAAATGCTATGTAAATTATAAAATCGAAGTCAGCATGCAACACTACATCGACTCACATATTATCGAACAAAATTAACCCTATGGAAACCACAGGCGAAGTTTCCGGAAAAGAATGCTCAAGAGAGAATAACTCCTAGGCACGTTTTCCATAGAAAACAATTTTTTTTTCTGAAACATATATAAACTAATGTAGTTTTGTATGCTGACTCTGATTTTACTATTTATTTTTGTTATTGAAATGTGCTATGATAATAACAACAATTAAATATAAGATTATCTTTAACTCTTGTGTCTCATTAAACGGAGAAAATGTTCAATTTTTTCAATAATCAAAACTAAACTAAATAAATACTTTTTTAGCTCAAAATTTCAATGAATATAAATGAATCAATTGAATGATTACTTTTTAGAATTAATACGTATTTAATTTAGACTATCAATAACGAAATTAATCAAAGACACATAAGATTATTATTCTTTCGATGCAAACTTCTAATTCGTCTTTTTTGTTTTTTTCTTTAATGCTCGCTTTATTTATTCAATTTTGCCAATTATTGATACATGTAAAGTAATTTGTACTAAAGAAGTGTGCTTTCTTATTCAAGTATTTTCAAATGCCGAGAAGCACAATTTGCTATAGATGATTTTGTAATTTCGCTTTTTTAAAGTTTCAGAAATACGTGATCTATCTTCGTACATGTAAAAATAATTACTATCCTCATTATGTTAAAACCACGAATAATAACAGAAAATATTGATGTATTCATTGCAAAATAAATTCTTGTTGTTGAACATGGAGTCATAATAAGACATCGAAATCCAATGAATAAATGAACAAAAAAAATTGCAAGAAGAATTAACTAAAGTATATAAAATGGCGAACGAAATAAGTACTGTACTTGTTACAACTGTGAGCAATAAGGAACTAAAGATGTTGGTACAGATGAAGTATTTATTATGGTTACCAAAGCAAAATTAGCTCTATTGAAAGTTTAATTAATTGAATATAATGAAAATTCGAACTGGTTATAAAAAAAAAGAATGATTGAAATAAATATAATGTGATTATGTACCTCATCGACGAATCTCTTACTATGATCTCTATTAACCGTTTTCGTCTCCGGGATTTTTTTCTTGATGGCGATCATCCTTTTTATCTACTTTATATACATATATATATATACTGAAAGATACTATACGTATCATTTTAGATTGTCATCGAAAATGAAAGATCGTCAAAACGATAGATGGACGAAAGTTACATCACTGACTTTCCGCGAAAGGCATACACTTACCAATAATGTGAAGCTTATCTCTTCCTTCTTTTCTTTTCATCGAAAAGCTTTTCAATTATTTTAATATATATAAATCTTAAAAACAGACTGAGTATACCAAAAAAGAAAGAGAT